TTCTCCAAGCTCCCATTTGGCATGAACTGATACACTAAAGCTTTGAAAAATCGATTCTTTGCTGTCTTGCCTTCAACTTGTTCGACAAAATGCCTAAGTGAACTTCTGTCACTGAGAAGTCACAAGATGATTAAGGAGAAAGAGAGAGAGACAGAGAGACAGAGGGACAAAGAGAGACAGAGAGGGCAGCAAGCTATCAATGAAGAAGGGCAAACTAGCTAAGAGCAAATTAGCCAAGAGTAAATCAAAATATAAATCTGCTAAGTGCAAATCAACTAAGTGCAAATCAACTAAGGTCTCCTTGAAGGAGTTTGATAATCAGGGGGATGCTCAAATATCTACCGATGAGATGCCTGATGTACTCCCTCGCAGGTCTACACGTATCCGAGTAGTTCTCAAATCTCTCATATCTGGAGATTTTGTGGGACCATGGCAAAGGCTCTCGAATGAAAACAAAAGGGGATTAAGGGATGTGGAATCGGAAAATAGCTCAATTGAGTGTGATTGTGTCGGTCTGTGTTTGTGTGGAAATCTTGGTACACCACGGTTGCAAATGAATGCGGAAATGCAAGCCTCAACTGAGCAATCATCAAATCAGCACCAAATACCTAATGCATGGAACACACCAACTAGAGTGCTAACTGATCTTGAGCAGTGGCCAAAATTTGCCATTGTTTCCCCACTGGCGGCAAATGAAATGATAATGTCAAAGAAACTTGGCTCACCCAATGCTGACCAAAGGAGAGAAGTAATTGATACCAAGCAACGGAAGAGTGTTGAAAATGTGCGAGCTTGTAGTAATGAAGATTTAGCTGAACTACATATGGAAGACACACAATATGGCAAGGATGAATGTCTTGATGGTGATACAACTGCTATATTAGGTAAGCCTTTACAAGCTTTGAAGCTCTTTACTTAAAGAAGAGATTAACAAGGTGTCAAAAATGAAGTATAAAATCGGTGCCCATAAGATTGAGAACCTAGTAGATGGCATGTACAATGTCCCTATAGAGATCTCAAAAAAAGATTTTTCTCATTAGGAAAATGCCTTGGTTGGATACTTCATGGATAAAAGATTCTCTTTCCATTATGTGAAAACTTGGGCAGAGAAATTTTGGGGAAATTTGCTTGAGGATGTTGTCTCCATTGATAATGGATTTTTTATTTTTATAGTAAAAAGTGAAGAGGCTATAGACAAAATTTTGGAAGATGACCCCTATTACGTTGGGGCTAGATTGATTGTTGTTAAAAAATGGCAACCTGGACTAAAACTAACAAAGTGTGAATTTTCGTGTGTGCCGTTGTGGGTGAAGTTGTATAATGTTCCTTTGGAGCTTTGGACTGAAGAAGGTTTGGGTTACATTGCTAGTATCATGGGAACTCCTCTTTATTTGGATGAGCCTACGTTCAAGAGAAGCAGACTTACGTTTGCGAGAATATGTATTGAAGTGCCAGCAAATAAAGAGATCCCTAAGTCTTTCAAAATAAATCTTGATTATGGTGACCCATATGAGATTCAAGTTGAGGTTCCATGGAAGCCTCAAAGGTGTGATGGTTGTAAGACTTTTGGTCATACCACTAATTTGTGTCCTCAGAAGCCAAAGACCTTGAACCCTCCATCTTCCAAACAAGAGTGGAGAGTCAAGGAGACTAACATACAAGTTCCAACCAAATGGGAAGTGGTGAGGAAAAAAGGGAGAGATGGTGGGCAAGATTCAACGACAGTGATAAACAAAGAGGTAGAGACACAGTGTTTCACCCCCATCAACATCTAATGCTTTTGATGTCCTTGAATCATGTGATATGGGAGAGTTGGGAAATGGATAATTAAATCAAGAGTTGTTGTGTCAAACAAAGAGCCTACAAAGTAGAGGGGGTCCATCTCCAAGTGATCCCATTAATGAGGAGACTACAAAGGAGGATAACAGAAGAAAACTCAAAGCGAAACTTCATTACTTGAAGAGTGCTAGAGGAAAATTTTGAATCCTTTGTTGTGTCTGGTGTTTTTGTCGTCTATAGGCTTAGTTTGTTTCTTTTGAGGGAGTAGTTTATTTCTATGTTTATGTTTGTTCTCCCTACAAAGGATGCGTATTGAACTTCATTGTATATCTATCTTTTTTGGTTATAATATGACTTACTTATCCAAAAAAAAAAAAAGGTTGAAACATTAACATTATATTTCCAAACATCATATGTGTTGTATTTTCTCTGCATTGCTAATTATTTATATATATATATATATATATATAAAGGCATATAATTAAAATGAAAACCACATAATTAAAAGGCATATAGAATTATAAAATTACACATAAATCAAAAGCATATACCGATTACACTCAAAACTAATAACATACTACATAAAATGAAACTTCAAATTCAAAGCTTTTACGACTCGCTGTGTAATTGTCACAAGTGTTCGATAAGGTCCAATTGGAGATAAGAATGTGTTTGCATGTCTATAATGTTATGATGACATTGAATGAATTCCATAAGTTCAGTAGTTCTTTCCTGTAACACCGTTACATGGGGACTGTCATCGATTTGATCATAATTGAAGTCTTTTACTCCATTGTCATCCCGCTCATTCTCAATGATCATATTATGTAGAATTATGCATGCTTTCATAATATATTTAAGCATTTTAGTATTCCAAAAACGTGTCGGTCGACGCACAATTGCAAATCGTGCTTGAAGCACTCCAAATGCACGCTCTACATCCTTTCTTGTCGCCTGTTGAGTTGCAACAAAAAGTTTTTTTCTTATTTCCTTGAGGAGAAAGAATTGTTTTCACAAATGTTGACCATTGTGGATATATACCATCGACGAGATAGTATCTCATTGTATATTCATTACCGTTGATGGTGTAATTGACTATAGAAGCACGCCCTTGCGCAAGTTCGGTAAATACAAAAGACCTTTGTAGCACGTTGATATCATTATGAGACCCAAGTAATCCAAAAAACGCATGCCAAATCCAAAGATCATATGATGCAACAACTTTCAAAATAATTGTTAGTTAATGTGTCCAGTATACATACCTTTCAACGCAGTTGGACAATTTTTTCATTTCCAATGCATACAATCAATTCTCCCCAGCATCCCAGGAAATCCATGACTTTCACCAACCGCTAGCAATTTAGCGATGTCATTGCTGTTTGGTGACCTCAAATACTCATTAGAAAAAATATTTAGAGAGACCAATTGGTAGGAAGGTTGAAAAGGAGCGATTGAATGAACAAAAGAACAAAGAAAGCATACATTCGAGTATTATAAAGACTTTGGAGGACATCAAAGAAGAGAAAAAGAAAATGATTGACAAAAAAATTGAAATGATTGACAAAGTATATATTCAAAAACAAGTGAAACTTCGTATCATGCAAGAAAACATGAGGTGGAACTTGAAAAGCGTGATATGGAACTTTTCAAAGAGGACGAAAGAGTTATTTTGATGGATCTCAATGGCTTGCCGGAAATCCAACAAAAATTTTATCGTGCTCAACAGATGGAAATCATTAAGAAAAGAAGAATGAATTAGTATTCATTCTCTATTTGCTCTTTATGATATTTTGGCTTTTGTTTAGTAGGCTAAAAACTTGATATATGGTATTTTGGTTCTGCTTTTGTCTAGTATTGCTTTTGGTTCTACTTTTGTCTAGGATAGATGTTGAACTCAGCAATGTTTTGATACACAATGTTAGTTGTCTAATCTGATGTTGTTTGTGCTGTGTTGTTCTGCTGCTCTTTGTGTTGTGTTGCTACCATTTTTGGGCTGTTTTTTAATCTGTTTTTATTGCTATTCTGCTGGTGTTTTCAGACTGTTTTGCTGCTGGTTTTGGGCTATTTTTGCTGCTGGCTTTGGGCTATTTTTGCTACTGTTTTTGGACTTTTTTGCTACTGTTTTTGTGCTGTTTTGCAACTATTTTGCTAGTTTTTTGCTACTATTTTGTGTTGTATTTACTGCTATTTTATTGGTTGTGTAACCATTTTTTCCCCTTTCTTTAATCTCCTTTGAGGAGTTTGACTGAAGTTCTTCTACTTATTTTTTATCACTTGCCAAGGTTGAAACATTAACACTATATTTCCAAACATCATATGTGTTGTATAGATTATCCAAACATCATATGTGTTGTATTTTCTCTACATTGCTAATTATTTATATATATATATATATATAAAGGCATATAATTAAAATGAAAACCATATAATTAAAAGGCACATAGAATTATAAAATTACACTTAAATCAAAAGCATATACCGATTATTCTCAAAACTAATAACATATTACATAAAATGAAACTTTAAATTCAAAACTTTTACGACTCACTGTGTAATTGCCACAAGTGTTCGACAAGGTCCGATTGGAGATGAGAATGTGTTTGCCTGTCTCTAATGTTATGATGACATTGAATGAATTCTACAAGTTCAGTAGTTCTCTGCTGTAACACGGTTACATGGGGACTGTCATCGATTTGATCATAATTGAAGTCTTTCACTCCATTGTCATCCCGCTCATCCTCAATGATCATATTATGTAGAATTATGCACAACTTCATAATATATTTAAGCATTTTAGTATTTCAAAAACGTGCCGGTTGATGCACAATTGCAAATCGTGCTTGAAGCACTCCAAATGCACGCTCTACATCCTTTCTTGTCGCCTCTTAAGCTGCAGCAAAAAGTTTTTTCTTATTTCCTTGAGAATGAATTGTTCTTTAAAATGTTGACCATTGTGGATATATACCATCGGCGAGATAGTATCCCATTGCATATTCATTACCATTGATGGTGTAATTGATTGCAGGAGCACGCCCTTGAGCAAGTTCGGTAAATACAAAAGACTTTTCTAGCATGTTGATATCATTATAAGACTCAGGTAATCCAAAACTTGCATGTCAAATCCAAAGATCATATAATGCAACATCTTCCAAAATAATTGTTGGTTCATGAATGTGACCAATATACATACCTTTCAATGCAGTTGGACAATTTTTCCATTTTCAATGCATACAATCAATGCTCCCCAACATCCTAGGAAATCCACAACTTTCACCAACCACTAGCAGTTTAGCGATGTCATGGCTGTTTGATGACCTCAAATACTCATTAGAAAAAATATCAACTGCTTTAACAAAATATTTTAAACTTTCTATTGCAGTGCTTTCTCCAATTCTCACATATTCGTCCATAAAATCAGTGGCTACTCCATAAGCAAGCATCCTAAGTGCAACAGTTATCTTCTGAAGAGAAGACAAACCAAGCTTTCCAGCACAATTTCTTTTTTGAAGAAAGTATGGGTCATGTGCTTCTACTGCAGCTTGAATTCGAAGAAAAAGTGAACGCTTCATCCGAACATCCTTTGAAATAGCTCAGGAGGATATATAAGCAATTTAGCAAAATAGTCGAGAAAAAGACTTTTATGACCTTGAATATGGTCACGATGAATGACTTTACAACCTCAAACAGAACCACAACGTGAGCTTGATCCTATCTCACTATCTAGTAGTTTTTCATCCATAGTAATAGCTTTGAGCATCTCCAAATTATCATCAGATTCAGAGAAGTCAGAGTCATTTACAAGCATATCATAAAGAGAATTGGAAGCCATAAAGAGAGATATGGAAGTTTGGATGAAGTAAAAAATTGAGTTGAGGGTAAGATCAAATAAGGAGGGATGTCTTATTTATAATTGAAAAGTAAAAAAATATGACCGCTACAAAAATATGACCGTTAGAAAAATACAACCGTTGAAAAAATACGATCGTTACAAAAATATAACTGTTAGAAAAATATGACTGTTTAAAAAATACGACAGTAGAAAAATGTAACTTTCACAAAAATATAATTATATTTAAAAGAATAAAAAAAAAATTTAATAGAAGATAGCTAGAATAGATAGCTTTGTTGGAGTGTATCTTAAAAAAATTACTAGCTAAAATAGTAAAGTGGAATTTTGAATAGCTATTTTGACTATCCTTGCTGGAGATGCTCCATTAGTACCTTTACTTACAATGTCAAAATCTGGAATAAAAAGGCTTTTGACAATATTTTCAAGAGAAAAAGAACCCTTCTTGCTCGCATAAAGGGTATCCAAAAAGCCAAAGCTCTTTCCTTTTCCCACAATCTCCATATTTTAGAAAAGGACCCGGTTAAACAATTCAACAACACCCTTTCTCAAGAAGAGATTATCTTGTTTCAATAATCTAGATCCAAATGGCTGACTATGGGGTACAAAAACACCAGATTTTTTCATATGTCTACCCTTAATAAAAGAAGGAAACTTAAAATTAATGTCCTTAAAGATGATGAGGGTAACTGGATTTCAGGAACTAATGAACTTAAAGCTCACATCATTGATCATTTTACTAACCTTTTCAAGTATGAAGAGACTACCATTTTAGAGGGTTAGAATAATATTGCTAGAACTAGATTCACCCTTGAAGACAATGATAGGCTCTTAGCCCTTATTTCTAACTCTGAGATTTGGAAGGCCATCAAAAACATCAAAGCTTTCAAAACACTTGGCAAAGATGGCATTCAAGCTATTTTCTACCATCAACATTGGAACATTGTTGGCCCCTCCTTTTGCTATTTCATTAAGACCTACTTTCACAATAAACTTGTCCCTTAGGAAATCAATGAAACCCAGATAGTCCTCATACCTAAACTAGACAACCCTGATACCATTAAACAATTTAGGCCTATTAGCCTTTGCAATGTCACTTATAAGGCCATTACCAAGATCATTGTCAACAAAATTAGACCTCTCCTCCCTGACCTTATCAGTCCTAACCAGAGCAGTTTCTACCTGACAGAATTACCACTGATAATATTATCATCACCCAAGAGATTATCCACACCCTTAGGTACAAGAAAGGCAAGTCTCGGAGTATGGTAATCAAAATTGATTTGGTAAAAACTTATGATAGGATCTCCTGGGACTTCATTCAACATTCCCTTAAAGAATTTGGACTCAATCTTGATTGGATTACCCTTATTATGAACTGTGTTTCTACTATTAGCTCCTCTATTATCTGGAATGGTGAGACCCTCCCCAACATAACCATGGGCAGAGGTCACAAGCAAGGAGACCCTTTATCCCCCTATCTTTTTGTCCTTTGCATGGAAAATCTTTCAAATATGATTAAAATTCAAACTGATAGTGGCAGGTGACAGGGCCTTGAGGCTGCTAAAGATGGCCCTCCTATTTCCCACTTGTTTTTTTGCTAATGATCTCATTTTGTTTGCCAAAGCTAATAATAGCAATTGTGATTGTATTATGGAGGTTCTCTCTGAGTTTTGTGTTATGTCTGGTCAAAAAATTAACCTTCATAAATCCAAAATGTTTGCCTCCCCAAACCTCTCTAGAAGGGAAGCCTTTTCTCTCAGCCATAAATGTGGCATACCTTTGACTGATAACCTAGGTAAATACTTGGGCACACCCATTCTCCATCACAGAATGAACTAGAATTTCATAAAGGATATCACTGAGAAAATGTCCAAAAAATTTTGTGGATGGAAAGCCAAGAACCTACTCTTAGCTAGTAGAACTACCCTAGTTAAATCTGTCACATTTGCTAGCCCTAACCACTTGATGCAAACCATGGAAATCCCCAGGCAAGTGTGTGACCACATAGATAAACTGAATAGAAACTTTCTGTGGGGTAGTACTGAAGGTGCTAGGAAAATTCATCTTGTTAACTAGAACCAAGTGTGTAAAAACAAGAAACATGGTGGGCTTGATATAAGAAAAGCTAGAAAGCAAAATTTAGCCTTCATTTCCAAATTGGGCTAGAAGTTAATTAGTAATGCTAAGAATCTTTGGTGCAAAGTTCTTAAATCCAAATACCTCAGAAAGCATTCTATATCTAGTTGGCCAACCAAAAGAAGAGCCTCTCATACTTGGAAAAACATTATCAAGAACAGGGATGTACTAGATAAGAATATCAAGTGGAATATGGGTACAGAGGAGGACATCTCCTAATGGACTGACCGGTGGTGTGGATCACAGCCTCTTTGCAACAAGTACCAAGGACCTCATATTGATAACAGAGCTAGAGTCAATTCTATTCTAGATGATGAAGGAAAATGGGATCTGTCCACAATTGAAGAGGTCATCTCTTAACAAGACAAGGAAGAAATTCTCACTATATATAGGCCCAGGTATGTGACATTCAAAGATAGTCCAATTTGGAAGGGATCTACTAATGGCAACTACTCCACTGTAGTAGCCTATCAAGCCATATCAGAGCAAGAAGACGATGGTGAAGACTGGCAGTGGCTGTGGAAGATAAAAGCTCCCCAGAAAATTAAAAGCTTCCTGTGGCTAGTTGTGCAAGAAAAACTCCTAACCAACCACAACAAGCTAATCAGAAATCTTTCCTTGACTGACACATGTCCCAGATGCCAGTTCAGTAGGGAAGACATCCTTCATTTACTCAGAGGTTACCCTAAAGCAAAAACAATATGGTTACTTCTGAGAGACTCCAACTGGTGGCAACAAAGTATATCTACTCCTGTTCAGGATTGGATCAAAGCTAACCTTAAAAGCAAAGTGCAATTCAATGGAGTACAATGGCCCCTAATCTTCATAACAGCACTTTGGAACATATGGAATGAGAGAAACAGAGTAGTTTTGAGAACCACACCCAACCCCCATTTGTCAGTGTCAATCTCATTTTAGAGCAAGCAGAGGAAACTCAACAAGCATTCGAAAATTTCTTGAATCCAAATTATACAAACCCAGTACTAAGTAAGTGATCTTGTCCCATTGCAGGAAAACTCGAACTTAACACTGATGGCTGGTCCAAAGGAGACCCAAGGCAATCAGGCTATGGTGGACTACTAAGAGATGAAATTGGCTCCTGGGTATGGGGTTACCATGGTTACCTAGGCCATTGCCCTAGCCTGGAAGCAAAAATCTGGGGCATATATAGAGGATTGACCATTATTATGCAAAAAAAGTTGTCCAACATCACCATTGAAACTGACTCTCAAAATGCCATGGAAATGCTCAGAGATGGTGCTGCAAATACTTCAACCTATCGAGCCATTGTTAAGGATGCTAAGTTCTTATCAGCAAGTGCCAGTGTTCCATCCAGCATATTCCCAGGGAAGGCAACCACAGTGCCGATGTTTTGGCCAACCTTGGAGTTAATCAACAAGAACATCTAGCGTATCTAGAGAATCCACCTAGCTTTCTCCTCTCTTTTCTTATCACTGATATGGTGAATGCTAATTTTAGAAGGGATTGAAATATCCCAGGACTGCTCTGTTTGTAAACTCTATGTTTTTTAACTTATTCCTATGAAAAAAAAAGGGGCAGAAGCAGTAGTAGCATAACTAACATCATCCACATAGTAGTTTAAAAGCAATACTGCCACTTGAAGAGGCTCCAAGGCAAACAGGGTAGCTTGCTCAACAATGGCTCTAGGTCAAGAGCTTGATAATGGGTACTTCTTACCCTAACACTCACTTCCTGGAATTGCTGTATGTATGTGATCCTCCTCGTGAAGTTGAAAATTAATCTTAGTAGACATGTGTCTCTCTAGTTTAAACTTCAATTGTAAATCATGTTCCCAATATTTCATCTATATTAAAGAACACAAATTCCTAGTAAAGCTCTTATCTTCTTGCACTGAGAAGATTTCAATAGTGCGCACAATATAAAATGAGGGTCATAGTGCTCAAGGTCTGCACACGTAGGGCGTCTCCATGTTCCCTATCCTCTAAAATTTTGAGCATGATTTCTTGTAATAATTGAGCTAATCTTCCCTCAACAAGCCTTTTCCCAATTAATTGGGCTTGGCTACATGAATCTTGTTTCGCTATTCTGCTTTATCAAGGACTATAATCTGACATACTTAAGAGCCAATCTTAATCTTGTTTCTTGGAGTAACTCGCACACTTAAAAGAAAGACTGTTTGCCAAACTCAAAATCAAAATGACAAATAATGGAGTAGAGGCCAACTACATGCTATGTGGTGCTTGGGATAGTGGTGAACTACACAAAACTAATTGTTTGGTGAAAAATTTCAGAACATAAAAGGCCCTTCTTTTGGTTGAACATAATCTTCAGCTTACAAGCATATACTACTTGTCTTCTATTCAAGCCCAGAGTAGCTCAACAAAACATATCAAATGCATCTAATGAAATTCAAAGCTACTTATACAGTATTTATGTTAGATACCAACTTAAATTCTAATGGTATCATAATCTCCTAGTAAATTAACCAATAATAATATAAATCAATACATTTTTGTAGAACCATAATTGAATCCTTTGCATCCCAAAGATGCAATTTAATTTATTATTCATGAGAAATGTAACAAGAAGAGAACCCAGGAGCTTCATGGATTCACATTATCTCCCCTACAATGAAACTATAAGAGCTCTCTCGCTCTCTACTGTAACATGAATATCTGAAATTTTCAAACATAAATCTCCAATTGTTTCAAGCAGCAGGGTTTTAACAATCAAATTCATACCTTGTCATCTCGCGATCAAAATCAGCAAGACAACCAATTTTTGTGAGTACTAATCATCGCCGACAAAAGCCCTGCCGACGAAATCAACAGTGGCCCCGAAAATGGCCCCTTTCCATCCTGAATATCGGCCACAGCCATCAACCCATCAGCCAAATCTTGCACGATCGAAAGCTTCTTCATGAACTTCTTCTCTCTCAATTTCCGAATCTTAGCCTCCTGATCACCACACTCATCCCCTCTCACAATCGCAACCTCGATACTCGATCTCAAACAGGCTTCTTCCTCGCCAATCTTCTTCAAATCCCTAATTTTCAAACTAATACTCCCTAAATAACCAATAAACTCAGCCCAAGCACTAATCTTCTGCAAATTACGCAAGTGTTTAGCGTCGATCAACCCCGATTTGGCCAACCACACGAATTGCTCAACAAAGTAATACAAACCCTCACTTCCGTAGGCGATCACAGACAATATCAATTGTTCTCTGGAGTCAAAACACAAGTTTCGCAGAGCATTCACGTCTTGAACGAATTTGCCGAGCCTGAATGCCTTGCGACTGACACCAACACTCGATTCGAAGCTCTTGAGTCGGCGATTGAGGGGTAGGGTTTCGGGCAGGAGAGAGGAGGCGAGGATGATCTTGGTGGCGTACCTCGAGATCTTCAAAAGCTTGTCAACACCATCTCGCTTCGCGAGGTACGATTCGAGGTGGTTCAAGAAGTCTTTGTCTTTGATCGTTGATCTAATAGGGTTTTTAGGGTTTTGTAATGAAGAAGAAGAAGACGAAGAAGAAGATGAGAGCTTTGAAGCTTCGGGTTCCATGGAGTCGCAGTCTAGGGAGAAAAACTGGGAAGAAGTACGAGAATTTATAGGTTGATGACAAGGCACGCGATTCACGACGATAGGGTAGTTCTGTTATTGAGAATTCAAAGGCTGATTGGTGCGAGTGTGTTAATGTATGGTACTCGCTTGATTTGTCCTTGGATGGGTGATGAGGACAGGTGTTACGCATCGGAGGGGCTAATGCGAAGCTGTGTATGATTAATTGGTGTTCCGTTTTCTTACCGACTTTGATATGCGTGCTAGTTATCCAAGTTTGGATCCGGGTCCTACATGGATGTCCCCACCATAATTTCAGGAATTTTTTTTTTTTTCACCATTTTGAGAAATTATTTTTCGCCCCAAACAAATTTTCTATTTGATATTTATTGAGCCTCCGTTTAGGAAGTGGGTTAGCTTTTTGACTTTTTTGACTATTTTAATTTAGGTTAAAAAGTTTAGTTTGGGAAGGACTTTTTAACTTTTTTGATTTTTTTTGTGAGAAAAGAATGTAATGATTATGGGTTGGATGTGATATTTTATTTTTTGTGGCTAAAATAGCCTATTTTGTCTTTTGTAGCTAAAATAGTCAAAAAAAACTCCGTTTAGCTCTTGCCAAACGGAGCCTGATTAAAATAATAAAATTTAATTTTTTATTTTAAAATATTATTTTATTTTTTATTATTCTTAAATATTGATCCCTTTTTATTGATTCTTTTTCAACTATTAAAAATTAAAATAATATGATTTTTTTATTTTATCCTTCTTTTAAATTTATTAATATTATTATTTTTAAAATTTAATAATTATACTACCAAAGAGTAATTTTTTAAAATTAATATTTTTTGAGTATAATAATTATAAGTTCAATTTTCCAAAATGGACTAATATTTTGTGATAGAATGCGCACTTTTATTAAGTTTTTGATAAATAACTTGACAAATATCAATTGATGAATAGTATGAAATAATACTCCAAAATCACCAAATAATCAATCCAACATTTTATTTCATAACATTTAAGTATATGATTTGGATTCTCTCAAGTTGGTCATCCTAACATGAGAATGCGCTTGGGCTTTGTAGGCCTATTTTAGGACTGACCTTGGTAATTCAAATTGATCACTTTTTAGAAGTTGTTAAGTAAAATGTTATTGTAAAAAATTATGATGATCAAATATCGGTAACTGTATGTTTAATTTATATTTATATTACAAAAATGAATGACTACTCTTGAAACCTTTTTTTTTTTTTAACACGTGTGATATAAATATATAGCTATTGATATTCAATCATCTTAATTTTTTTACATAAATATTTTAATCAATAAATCTTAAAACGTGAACAGTTTAAATTACAGAGATCGACTATAAAATAAGCCCACTAATCCCCAACATTCTCTCAACTTGAGCAAATCTGATTAAGGCTGAATTGTGCAACATTGAGGCCGTTAATTATGATCTCTTTACTTTACTTGTTTGTCAAACTATATATTTTATATCTGTTAATGTCAATCAGGTTGTACATAGTGGGAGCATAAAATGAGCAAAAATGCAGGACTTGTGAAGAAAAGTGCTTCCCGCACATACGTTGACTTTTTCTCGCACGTGCGTTGACTTTTCCAGCACGTGCGGCAATACCTCGGAAATCATGCCACTTTTTTAAACCTGTTTGAAAGACAATAGAGGTATAAAAAGAAGAAAGGAAGGCTGGACTAGGGTTCTAAAATTTTGAAGGAGAAAGATGAGGCTAGGGTTTGGAAAAAGGTGATTCTCAATCTTCAAAGCAAATTCTCATGGAGGGTTCTATCTCTTCCACCTCTTCCCATTCCTTCATGAGTGGCTAGGCTCTTCTTTTTTAGGGTTTTGATGAAACCCTAGCTATGTAATTAGGCTTTCTTTTTTATTTTTGATTATGTAAAGGTTTGAACAATTGTATGGTATTTTAGAAGTTTTATATGTATATGTTTTCCACTATTTCTTCAAGTATTCGACTTTTTATGATTGTTGAATGCTTTCCATATATTGGTTTTCTTTTCTTTCATATTCAAGGTATGAGACAAGTCATACTACGAGGGACGAGTCGTTTTGCTACCCTAGTTTAGAGCGAACGGCTCGTACTACTTGAGATGGTTCGTACCTATACATTAAACGCGATAACTCTCTTGATAAATGCTTCGAACTTGTAGTTGCGAAGTATTAATTAGTTCGAACCGTAGCATAATTGATTTCAAATTGAAACTTTATTTACATAACTACTGGTAAACTCATTGCCCTAGGTTTTTCCCAAAATCAGTGAATTCATCTTTATTTGTAATTGCTAGTTTATTCGCTTTGTTTAATTTAATTATTATTAGGTTATGATCAGTCAATCTTTTTATCAAAATTAATTTAGGAATTTAACAATTAAATTAGTTTAATTTCCCGTTTGTCCCTGTGGATTGATATCTAGACTTACCATTATTTTAAGGAATTTGGTATAGTTTAGTGTTTAATTTTAGTGTGTGAAATGACCCATCAAATTTTGGCGGCGTTGCCGAGGACTTCTAGCGAAATTAGTTAATTTAAAATTACATTCTTATTTTAATTTTTAGTGTAGGATTTTATATTTTAGTATTGCTAAGTGTGCGGAGTGTTTGCAATTGGAGTCATCACCGAAGTGCGAGCGAAGCGCAACCAAGTTTTTTAAAATAATAAAAAAAAAATCGTAGCACCAAAGTGCTAAAAAAAACAAAACAAAAGCAAATACTCACAAGCAAAGCACCAAAGTGCTACAACTAGAGAGCTCAAGTGGAAATTGAGGATAACGTCTACACGTCAAGCACCCGCAAGACGAGTAAAGCGTTTTCGTTAAATCGTTGTGAGTATTCTCTTCTTTGGTATTTTGCTTTCATAACTTAGTGCACAAAGTCGGAACTTAGTATGTGTGTGTGTGTGTGTGTGTGTGAGTAGTATATGCATGGGCGCCATTTTTGTCGCCTTGAATTGTGGAATTTGGACCTTGAACTAGAAAGGACTCTTAGGAAACTTAGAGCCTCTTCCCGTGTTCCTAAGCTTGAATACCCTTATCCATACTTCGAACCAATAGAGATAGAAAACCCGAATAGCCTAAATGGGCCTAACCGGACCCTTAAAGATTACTTCACATCCACTGCATATACATCACCATCATGCATCCAGTTACCTGATACCACTGCTACTCATTATGAGATTAAGTCCAGCACCATCCAAATGCTTCCATTATTCCATGGACTAGCTCATGATGACCCTTACAAGCATCTGAATGAATTTCTAAAAATTTGTTGTACAGTGAGGATCCAGAATTTCACGAATGAGGCCCTAATGCTGCGTTTGTTTCCATTTTCATTAAAGGACAAAGCCAAACACTAGCTGAACTCCTTACCTGCTAATTCAATCACAACTTGGGACCAATTACAGCAGAAGTTTTTGGAGAAGTATTTTCCCATTGGTAAGACCAACCAATTTAGGCGTGCCATCACTAATTTTGCTCAAATTGATAGCGAGCAATTTCATAAGACATGGGAGAGATTTCGTGACCTTCTCCAACAGTGTCCCCACTACCAAGTGCCTAATTGGCAACTTGTGCGGACCTTTTACTATGGCTTAACTGAGCCTCACCGCCAAATGGTAGATTCCTCTTGTGGTGGGACATTCGTGTCCAAAAATGACGTCGAGGCATGGCAATTATTTGAGAACTTAAGTGATAATTCCCTTCACCATGTCTCCGCAGCTCGGCAAGTCCGGCAACCAATAGTTGGAGCCCTAAAAAGAAGGGACATTTATGAGGTAGGGAAAAACCTAGAGTTAGCCCAACAGGTAGAGGTATTGTCCCACAAAATAGACCAATTATTAGCTGTAGGACATGCCCCTACACAACAAGATCAACCTCAATTTCATGAGGCATGTGCTATTTGTGCGAGCCCTGCTCGTGACTTGAGTGAGTGCCCTTCGGCATCACAATTTTCAAAATTAGTCTAAGGGCATATGAATGTGGCTCAAGGATTCTCCAACCCGGGTAATGACCCATATTCCAACACATGCAATCTGGGATGGAGAAATCAACCTAATTTTTTATGGAGATCTCATTCACAAGGCACTTCTTATAATCCTCCACCACCAAGACAAAATTTTAATAATTTTGTCAACCAATCTTCTTACCGACCACTACAACCTTACCCGCCACCACAACCTTACTAGCAACCACAACCTCCGCTTGTTCCTCAAGGCAACTTGGCCTTTGAGACTCATGTGTTAGAAGTTCTTTCAGAACTTAAGGGGTTAGCACCAGTAGTTCACTCTCATACTCACTCTATTGCCAAGCCAGAGGCCCAATTGGGTCAATGGCTAATAACATGAATAGGAGAGATGAGAGAAAATTACCGAGTCAAACTGTGGCCAACCCTAAGAGTCAATATAGGGCAGAAGGGTCGGGTGGGAATGGAAAGCACCATGAGCAGGTGCAAGCGGTGATTACCTTGAGAAATGGGAGGAAGTTAGAGCCTCTACCAGTTACGTCTGATGTAACCAAGGCTAAGAAGGGTGATCACGGTGGTCAACCCAAAGAGAGTAAGGGCGAGGGAGAGACACCTAAGGGAGATGACTTAGTCCCTAGCACTTCACATGAGCCTAAGGCACCCTTTTTCCAATGCCTTGAGACATCGTCCCCTTTCAATAAGAAGGCGACATCTATGGAAGCGATGATGGAGGTTTTTAAACAAGTTAAAACCAACATCCCCTTGCTGGAGGCGATTAAGCAAGTACCCTCCTATGCTAAATTTTTGAAGGACATTTGTATGCAAAAACGTAAATCTAGGACACACGTGTCCCAAAAGGTCATACTCACAAAGCAAGTAAGCTCTATTTTATTGAATGACACACCCCCTAAGCTTAAAGATCCAGGTGCCCCAACCATTGCATGCATTATAGGGGATCATTTCATTGATAGGGCCTTGATAGATTTAGGGGTCCGTGTTAATTTGTTGCCGTACTCCGTGTACGAAGAATTCGGGCTTGACAAGTTGAAGCCCACTATTGTCAC